CTAGAAATGTTATATTTAAAGTACTGTTACGATAAAGATACTAATTTGGCCGGAAATGTTTTGCGGGTCTCTGCTAGTTTTATATGAATCGATCTCCACAGTAGATGGTATGGGAGGCCGATTACTGCATGGTTTGCTCTATAGAGAATTTCGTAATTGGTATTTCAGGCATAATAAATATCACGATTTTGATGAGATCTGAATCAGTGGCATATCAAAGGTCATACAAGTTTTACTTCCACAGAGAATGTAATTAATAATGTGCCAGGTATCGAACGATATTTACTTTAACTTTATTTAGAAAACTGAAGTGCCATTGTTCTTCTGGGATTTTTAATATAAATCTTATAAGCGATAAAATAATTTACAACTTACCCCAGCCAATGAAATAATAGAGTTTAAAAGGCGTGTCCATATTGAAGATCGACACAGTGATGCGACTATGGAGCAGTAATCCCTCGACGAACATCCAGTTAATACTAGCCATAGCTGCATACATTTTTACTGACAGAATAGCTTTGCACAACCATTCCTACGGGGGAGGTGGGGTGTAATAACAATCAATCAAAATATCTCGACAGAACCTTTAGTACAACCTGTCTTGTGTATGTTAACAATGTCTAATTAATCAACTCGATCAAAATAGCTCATTCAACCATATTTATGGGTTAATATTCAATCTACTAGTAGGGAAAAAAGTTTATGAACCAGTCTTGTGGATATTAACAATATTAAATTAATCAATACTATTTATTAATCAGTCAGTTAAGTGGCTGTTAATAGCATTTAATTAATTTAATTTAATTGTGTGAACATTAATAATATATTATTACTCAACACAGGCAAGTCTCTTTTCTGTAACTAGTACTCCAAGTGTAAATTTAATCAATTAGCACTTCACAATTATATGAATACTATTTTTATTTCTTAATTACCTAAAATATTTTATTTTTTCGTTTCGTGAAGTAACATGCATATTAAATAAAAACTATAAAAATGTTTTCCACAGATGTCCCTTTATATAATAACACTATTTAATTGACTAAAACAATAAAAACCTTTCATACATTCTGTCCTATGGATATTAACAACACATAAAAAAGAATTAAATTAAAAAACTCGTAAATCTAGTCATGTTTTCAGACCTGGATAACAACTGGATATGTTTCGTAACACAGATATGGTACAGTGAACATAAGGACGTGTATCACAAACTTAACAATAATCCAATACCTGATACTCAATTAGGTGTGAAATTAGTAATTTCTTAAAACACTGACTAAAGCGTTATTAGAACCACGACTAGTACTGAGTTAACAGTCTAGTTTTTTACCTGGGTACAGATATCACAATGTGCCAGAATGTGATTTGTTTTATTGTAGCCCATTCGTGGTGGATTATGAGCTGCGATTGATTCACAGATGTCGGCAAAGGATTACGATAACGAATGTAACGTTCAAACGATATTCAATCTTACAAGATGTGGTACTTGTACTATATTGGGGTCACTGCAATAATCTTCGAACAAACGTAGGATAATATTGTTATTGTATTGTTGCCTTGTACACTAGTGCGATAACTTAGTATTATTGGGGGGGGGGTCACAATCATTAACAAAGTCCGTGTATTTTTGGATGTTAATCTACAATAATACTATTAGAATTTTTCTCGCACCGTCTCACGGTGGAACAGCGCTGTGTCTGTAGACTTACAATGCTAAAATCCAAAGTTCGATTCCCTACGATGGACACAGTAGATAGTCCTAATGTGGTTTTGCTCTAAAAATTAACAAACAAACAATTTTTCACACCATTACACCACATGTAGTACATTGAAGCGTTTGAACAACACTAATTGTGTCAAGTGCCTCGTGTGATTTTCTCTATATTTCTGCCCTATCGTTCAGTACAGAAAATGGCAAAACGTAACCCATCAGCCCAATTTATATGCTTCCAGTCATTCATTGTCTTAGCATTACTGAAGCCTTTTCCCCACTGTTTGGAAATGAGAAAAGCAGTTTTTGAATTGATTGTACACTAACATATGATAGCCTTTATAACATATTTTAGTATACTGTAATTAGAGACAATCGAATCTTGATCACAGCTAAATAAATTAGGTGCTTAAAACATGTTGCTCATTACAAGCCTATCCAATATTTGTTCCACTTGACTTGTCACCAGCGGCTGAGTAGATCACAGTTTTACCTAATGGTACATGCTTTTCCACTTTCAAATTCCAGTGTTAAAAGACTGACAGCGAATGTCGTTTAACAACTGGTCATGCAAACAATATTTGATAACGAAGCTCCTGTTACACTGACACGCACTGTCATGCCGTTTTTACACGTTCGCTTGCAGAATAATAAAATATAGAAACTAAGAAATAACCTGACGCATAGTGTGGTCAGTCTGTTTTCTACATGCAAATAAATAAACGTATTGATAACCCTGTGTGGAAAGGGTAGTCGTAATGTAGCTTATAAGTGTATTTTCGCGTCCTGAAGACGAGTCATATTAAAAGAAATATTATAGCATCTATTACAGAAAATTAAAACAAATAAAATGGAAAATATCCTTAAGGCTAAATCACCAAAAAATGAAAAAATGCTTACGATATTCCTGTAAAAAACTGTTGGATCCTTAAGCACACCAGGGGTAGAGATGATAAACAGGAGAATAGAATGGATGATTAATGCGATAACTAGGTTCTGGTGCACGTGGAGCCTTGGGCAGTGAAGAGACCTAAGGCAAACAATACTGCGTGATTTACTTATTCTTTAAAGAATAAAATGCAAGTATAATCAGCTTATATAATCACAAAACTTTCTGTAACAACGTAGTTATAAGTTGTAGGTAAAGGATGGGAAAATCGTTAAGTGACTATTATGATTAATAACAAATTACTATAATAATATTTACCTGTAATATTTTAATTTATTTCTTAATTTTTAACGCCTGCCACACGAACCTGCCAGGCATCTTGATGTGTTTGTTTTTGTTTGTTTTTAATTATGCACAAAGCTACACAAGGGCTATCTGTGCTCTGCCCACCACGGGTATCGAAACCCGGTTTCTAGCGTTGTAAGTACGCAGACATACCGCTGTGCCACTGGGGGGCATCTTGGTGTGGATCAAAAATAAAATAAAAAAGAGTCATCCTGGAGAAGTTTTGGTTGTTTTGATTAGACGAAACGAAGGCGTTTGGCACTATTTTCGAGGTCTATATTGCTGGACCAGACCTGAGACCATTGGAGTCAGTATGGATAAATTAACTTGTAAATGTGTAAAATAAAATGATATAACAATGAAACATACTTGAAATGTTCTAGACGTTGTTGTGAATGTGATGGTTTAAGTATAGCAATTAAGTTAAACTATGGGTCCAGTTCAGATGAGAGAATACCTTATTCAAAGATATCACAATTGATTTGACATACCAGCTGAATTGACAGTAAAACATAAAACAACAGGCACAATAGTGCAGTTATCTTCAAAAGGGGGATTAGTATCATATACAAGTACTCATTAGTTTCAATATTAGTGAAACTAACATCAAAGTAAACCCCAAAGATGCACGATGCATTACAAGATGATTTCTGTAGCGATTCTCAAATTAAAAATGAAGAGTAAATATAAGAAAGATGGTATAATGTCCAGTATGGTATCACCATAGTATAATCCATATAGATTTCATCATGTCATATTTTCATTAATATTTAGTGTTTTTTTTTTTCGTTTTAGAAGCTCAACAGTGACTCAACGTTAAGGATTTATTTCCTGAGTTGGGCCTACTGCAGAGATCCCATTAAGCAGTTTTACACTTACATAAAACCAAAACAGGTGATTATCAGACTTAAAACCGCTTGCAGAGCCACTCTTGACGAGCCAGTATTCAGATGGCATTCGTTTTCAAAAAATAACAGTGAACTCTCTGTACATCTTTTGTTAGACTGATTCATTGAAAATGTGTTTCAGAACAAGGTTATATCTAAAGAAATCACGTAGAGTAATAAAATCAAATAAATACATTCAACGTATCTTGCCATATGTTACAGCACAATGCTTTGAGATAGGCCAAATTTTTGGAAACGTAATGAATACGCTTTTAATATGACCGGGTATAGACTAGTGGTTAGCGTTTTCGGACCAAAAAACACGTAGATGTGTGGGGCCGTAGATGCATTATAGGAATAACGGTCAAATCCCACTATTCAATCAGATAAGAATAGTCCGAAAGTTGATGGTTGGCGTTGTTAGCTAGCTAGCTGCCTTTCCTTTAGCCTATCAGTTCTAAATCAGGACAGATATGCCCAGATAACCTTTATGTCTTTTCCCGAAAATTCTAAAACAAAACTAAAAACGCTTCTAATGTTTATTTGCGTGTATTCTTAATAACCATATATATTTTCTCATAAAGCAGGCTCTACTAATAAAAACAAAATTAAGATAAATTCAATAGGGTTAATATTAATTTTTGTTATTTTTAAACAGCGTTTACACCTGACTTACGGTACTAAAATCAAGGGTTCAGTTCTCGGAATTGACAGATCGCAGATAGTCCATTGTGTAGCTTTGGAAGAAAACAGTTAAATACAACGTAACTTATAACTGAATCAAAGAAACAAGAAAGTACTGTTGAGTCACCTACTGAATGACATTAATTACTAAGTTTTACGTGAAACATGAGAGGGGGAAATAAATAAATCTCAGCTACTATAGAAAGGGTAAAGACGAATCAAAATGAGTTGAACTAGTTACATAAAATATACGTAACCATTTCTTTATTTTGAATTGTAAATAAATAACTACTTACTTGAAATGACAGAAAATGCATAATGTTAAAATGAGGGATAAAAGAGATACAAGAGATCCAATGAATAAAATGTACGTAACGGCGATTTGGTCCGAGGAAAAGTTGTCCTGAAATGTAAAGAGATTAACTGTAGCATACAGCACATGGTTCTTACTTTTATTAAACAATCCTATGCTAATCACCCCTTAAAACAGATAATCCACACGTTGCTTTCATCACGATTATTTTAAGTTAAATCATTACTCTACCCTTTATTCTCCTTATCTTAACCTTCAGTTTTAATCTTTTACTTCTAAAGTTATGCTTGAAAGCATTCTCATCTCAATCGTATTTTTCTAGTCGTATTTTCCAATGTTAAGTTATTTAAAAACCCTGTTCTAAAAAAATATAGAATATTTTAACTACATTTTGTTAACATGACATCCTTTTGCTTTGCACATAAATTTATGTTCTATTAATATTAAAGTAATTTGCTAGAAATACACTTTGAAGGAACTCCAGTACTATGAAACACAGTGTGGAGGAATACCAATGATGTGAAACACAGTTTGAAGGAACTCCAATTATGTGAAACATAGGTTGGAGGAATTCCAGTAATTTGAAACACAGTTTTGGGGAACTCTGGCAATGTGAAATACAGTTTGGTTTGTTTGTTTGAAGTTAAGCACGAAGCTACACAATGGACTATCTGTGCTCTGCCCACCTCGGGTATCGAAACCCGATTTCTAGCGTTGTAAGTCCGCAGACATACCGCTGTGCCACTGGGGGGCAATACAGTTTGGAGGACTCCATTAATGTGTAATGCGAACTATAGGAACTCCAATACTTCTTCGTGACACTGTAATTGTACTGAGAATTTAAGTATATTCGTTAATGTATATTGTTTGTATTCGTAGTTGAACATGGCCAACAAGATTCCCCTCAACGTGTTGAGTCATGTTGCAGCGTCCGTTTGTTTTTCTCTCTTTTTGTTTGCAGATGTATTAAATAATTTAAGTTTTTAATGCGAAAAGCCCAGAACTACTTAATTTTCATTCGATCTGTCTGGAGCCACATATGTTAAGAAAAATATATTGCGGCCATAAAGTGAATCACAAACATGTTTGGTATTAATATATATATAATTTGTACTTTAGAACTTAACGATAACGCCTCTTACTCTAACATACTATTGGTAATTCAGTTGCATGTTTTGACAGAAAATTGAAGAAAATAAATCCACAGTTTCTATTATCATTAAATCTTCACTAATTTTCAAAACCCTTCTCACCTGATGCAGTAATTCAAGACATTCCGTATAATTCGTCCACTCACCCCATAGCCAATCGCCACTCTCGCTACAAACTCGATAAGCGTGAGCTGTCAAAAGACAGGATATACAGTTAGTTGTCTTAGAGATATAAATGGAATAAATAATACAAATTATTATACTGGATGAAAGCATAAAAATCATGGAATTCATGTATAAAAACACACATTCAAGAGTGAGTAGCATACGTATTTTAATTTTGGTATTCTATTAGGTGGCTAAGCAGTGCAAAATATTGATTGTAGTGACAGAGGCAAGAAATCACAGAAACGGATAATGTATGTTTATATAAATTATATGTCTTTCATCGAAATGTTAAATTTTACTTAAGGGTTTAGTGTTACTTTGTTAAAATAAAGAAATATTTAGTACATAAACTCTTGATAGAGGTTTTTTATTCAAGTGTTAACATTTCTCTTGCAAAATTATATATATTATTTAAAGCCTACAATTATGTAATTGACTTGAATTTTATCACCCTTATCTATCGTCTGCACACTTATAGGAACTTCGTTATGAATGAAGATTTCTGAGCATGATCGTACTGCTACTTTTCCTGCAGGTGTCGTTGGCCAGCAATAAAAAGAATCCCAGATCGCGTCACAATAAACACCTGCAAACAAATATTTTTTAATTATTTATTAAATTGGATACAATCAAAATATCAGAAAAACATATAAGAATTAGTATACTAGAAAATTACTTTAGCGTCAAATAACAAAAATATAAGAGTAGTAACCAATCGTATTCTATCAAGTAGCCCCCCCAGTGGCACAGCGGTATGTCTGCGGACTTACAACGCTAGAAACCGGGTTTCGATACCCGTGGTGGGCAGAACACAGATAGCCCATTGTGCTTAACTTCAAACAAACAAACAATCTATCAAGTAGCTCTCGCATTCTATTGTATCGATAAAAGCAAATATTGTCCTTCTAGATTTTTGTGAAAACGGACTTAAAATAATTATACAGAGACTGGTTAAATATATACAAACATAGATATGTGAAAAAAATAAATAAAGGTACTAGGTCTTATGAATATGCCCCCCAGTGGCACAGCGGTATGCCTGTAAACTTACAACGCTAGAATCCGGGTTTCGATACCCATGGTGGGCAGAGCACAGATAGCCTATTGTGTAGCTTTGTGCTTAATTACGAACAAACAAACTTATGAATATTTTAGAATTTCGTGCTCACAAACTGTTTACTTTAGACAGCTTTTTTCCACTGAAGAAAGTAGAAGAATAAATTAGTAGCATTAATGTTGCTTATTCTTCAAATACCTATGTATATATAAACACTTTGCTTGTGGCGAGTACATTACAATTCCAGCACCACATATATTTTCATAAGTTTAGTAATTTAAACTCTCTTACTACAGTTTAAAAACAGTAAACTTTATCATCAAGCTAAAGCTGGTTTTTTTTTAATTCTGGAATTGAGCGTAAGAATAATTTGCAAGAGAAATTAGAGCGCAGTTTTGAAAACATCACAGAAAAAATTATACCCATTTTTCCTGGATTTTATTTATTTCACAAGTCATGTTGAAAGATAATAATAATAAAATTCTATCTAAAATAAGGATAACCCAGTTTCAAAGGCTACGAAACGTTAAATTTTCAAAATAGTAACTCGAAGTGTTTTCAGTTTTGAATGACCTTAATCATTTAATTCACAGCGTTTATTTAAATATAAATTTTCTAATACAGAGAGAGATGATTTTTAATATGTGAACACATGCACAACTTTAATTTTTTTATCATTTGCTAGCGTTCTAAGCTGACCTGAGAGAAATGAACTTTGAGAACGATTTTTTTTCTCATTCATCACTGATATGGCAGGCTTTTAAGAAGAAGTATTTATTTATCACTGAAAAAAGTGGGAAGATAATTTCCTCATCTAAGTAGATGCAGATTGGATTCATTGCTGCATGCCGCTAGCGCTAAGATTAATATATATCATAAAATGTGCGAAAGATAAAGTAAGGTTCCGTTGGCCGTGATCGCTGGATGCTCGCGTTGCAAGTGCTAAATCCAGCTTTCCCTAGTTCATTTGGCGTATTTACGTTTTTTCGTTTAAAAGCAGAGTTTTACCCTTTTTTCAATCAGCATTTGTAAACTGAACTTTTCTTTTGATATTCATACCCCCAAAAAAATACTTCCATCAATTAGTTTTATTGCTGGACAAAGATTAGGTACTGAAGTTTTTCAAAGTTATAGAAAATTTCTCGTGGCTAGAATCAAGATAGGTAAAACTGGAGAATGACATTTTGGATACCTGTTCTAAAACATAACGTGCATAACGTTCAGGTAATTATATATAATTCATCTTATGTGGATCACTTTCGCCCACAAAAATACTTGTTTGCATGTTATGGTAAACAAGTAACAAGCCAATATTTTTTATCATACACAAGAGAGTTGATACTATCAGTCATTTGACATATTGGCTTAGAAAGTTGTGATTTAAAAAACTGTTATATCTCATTCGTATTTCTAGCTCTTAATTGATTTTTCCCGGTGGAAAAGCGGTAAGTTCAAGGACTTATAACGCTACAATCCGGGGTTCGATTCTCCGTGGTGGACACAACAGATAGCCCAATGTAGCTTTGTTCTGAAAACAAAACAAACTTAACTGACGTATTTCAGTCAATTAAGTCAGATTAGCTGAAAGGTGGCAGCCCATCTAATTAATCTTTAGAGTCGGTAAAGAGTTAAACAAATGGGAAACAGCACTCTTCTAATTAAGAAGCCACAATAAGTAACTAAGCTAATCGGTCTTGAACGTTGTCGCACTAGATTTGATCATATTGGATAGTAATCGGTAGAACACACAATATGATTAATTTTCAGGCTTTTCTACTATGATTCTTAGTTTTGGATTTATTTTGACTGATTATTTTAAAATCGTTTGTTAAATGTGAGTACTTTTGATAAGATACACTATTATCTATAAGCACGTATCAATTTATAGATATGAATAGGAAGTTAAAACGTCATTTAATATTTTAAGCTGCTTTCAAGTTTTATGTTAGGCATTAAGGAGTAAGAAATTTCAAGCAGTAGCAGCGATGATTATAAACTTTCTACTGGCAGTCAAAATCATTTTAAACATCATAATATTCGCTTACTTTTAATGTAAACTTCAATTTATGAATTTCTCTTTAAACTTTTGTTGGATTGATAATCTTCACGTACATTCTTGACTTTTACTCCTATACGTTAAATACTGATACAATATATTGTTTGTTTTTCCTAACAAAATGAATGCTCATGTTTATAACTCTGATGCAACGCTGTTAAAGTGTGAATGATATGTTAACTACAAAAATACGCGGGACGACTATTCGACTTCTGTTCTCAAGTTAAAGTTTCACATTTTTACACTGAAACCCTTGTTTGTCGGTATTCAAAGCCCATATGACCAAGCGAGGATTACACGGATGCGACCTTTAGCCGCCTTTATGTGAAAGTTTTTATTATTCACTGGCTTGTATCAAAAATGAGAGTCAGCAAAGTGTACGTGAATAAAATAATAATAACTGGATCTACATTACGAATATAAAGTTAAATGCTATTCTCATCAGGGTAATATTACGCAATGAAAACTTAGGATGATGTAATGTGTCGCACGTTAAAAAGCCTTTCTTTTTTGTTCTAATAGATACGTCATTAAACTTTTTGTAGATGAACTTCTTTGCACCGCCTGAAATTCAAAACTTTAATGATTAATCACAGTCTCAAAGCAAGCCTTCTGCTACTATGGAAACCCAACGTGCGTATTGCTACGTAAATGAATTGGCTGTAGAATTACGGATCCACTTTTAAATATAAAAGCGAATATTTTTGTTTATTACTGAATTTCATTTACTGATAAGAATTATTATTTTTACAAACATTTTATTTCATTATTTATCTCGAAAATGTTATTTGTTGCCACATTTTATTTTGTTATTTATCTCGACGATGTTATTTGTTGCCACATTTTATTTTATTGTTTATCTCGACGATGTTATTTGTTGCCACATTTTATTTTATTGTTTATCTCGACGATGTTATTTGTTGCCACATCTTATTTTATTATTTATCTCGATGATGTTATTTGTTGCCAAAAAAGTTTTTTAGAGATAATTTTACTCGTTATTAGAGAATGGAATTACAATCGACTTTGTTTTGCAGCTACTATTAACATTTACGAGAAAACGACGTTTTACAGATGATTTCATCATCAGTTGTTATGCTACATTAGAAAGAGACTTCATTGTATTTGACTTTGGTTAGCAACTGTGATCCAGTAGAAGGCGCGCCTTCATTAAATTTGATTGACTAGCAACTGCCATTTAGCACGAAAGTACAATTAATTTCAGATAACTTTAGCCAACAATTATCATTCACGAGATAAATATCTTCATTAAATATTATTTTGATCAGCAAATGTCATCCAATAACAGAAACATCATTAATTTCCGATAATTTAAATCAGCAGTTACATTCAGTAGAAGAAAGGTGCTTCATTATGTATGAATTTGATCAGTAACTGTCATACCATTAATAGGAAGAAACTTGATTACACCTACTGTTATTCATTAACTGTCATTCAATAAAAGAACCTTTCTTCATTACACTTGATTTTAGCCAACAGTTGTCATTTTTCATAACAGATAAGACCAACTATCGTTCAGTCTTACTGGAAACTGCAGTTTTTTGAGAAATATAGGCCTAACCACAGTTGACTTCCTACACTTTGCAATTTAAAAACAATTCGAAGAAAACTGCCTTTGTGATAGCTTTCGACTGATACAGGGAAGACTATGTCATAAACGTAGAATTGTCCTCGAGAATGTTTGTGAATTTATGTGCTGAAAGGACTAGAATGTAACATTGTTTGTTGGCAGAGAGTTAGTCATTAATAACATGCATTTCCAGTGAAATCTATGAATTATAAGTTTCGAGAAGGCCAAGTAAACAGCTCCTGGATGTTACAAGAACTAAGCTAATAATCAACATCTCATCACCACAATGTTGAAATTGGAAGCAATAATTTCAGTGGATGTAGATACTATACATTTAATGCTGTATAATTAAGTAATTATTTGTCGAGTTTACAATAGGATTAGTTTCAGAAAAAAGTGTAGAAGCGGTTGGCAACATCAGGTATTTCAATGGCAGTGCCGTCATCATCCTGAACAACCGCCAACTGCCATTAAAGATTTTCAAGTAAATTACGTTATTTACCAGAAATAAAAGCTTACGAAGGATCTTTCAAAATATGTCCACATTTTTATTGGGTGAGATAGCCAATTTTGAGAAATTTCTGTGACAAAGCATCATATATACTTACTTAGTATGTGTATTTATTGAAGTCACAACTTCAATGAAGGTTATGTGGTTCTATACCGACTTCAGAAAGATGGACACTGTGATCTGTTTGAGAACCTTTTTCAGACGGTAGACAGTTGAGAGTCTAAGCACATTAGAAGAAACGAAGTATTCTAACTTGTTAGATATCTTTTAAATCAGTTGACAGACCAAGACGATGTGTGCTTGTGAGTGTGTACATACACACATTAATATATACATGATGAACTTGAACTATGGGGGCATAAAATACTTAA